TGAGAACTGTTTGTAATAAATGAATGTTGAATCTTGCTAACTGTTTTTTCTCCACCTATTGAGATGGTCATCTGATTTTTTTTTTTTTACCTTTTCCTTTTTGTATGAGAGACCATATTAATTGATCAAGGTACCAAATTGAATAATTTGTTGATCATTGATGTTAAGAGAATTAATCATTACTATCTAGAATGAACATAATTACAATCATCTAAATGTGGGAGAGAGGAAGAATAATTGGATTCTGAATGGTATTTGATAATGTTATGCTACTGAGTTTTGAAGATGAAGAAAAGGGCATGGTTTATGGAATGCAAGTGACTTCTAGAAAATGTAACACAAAAGCAAATGCAGTGTCCCTGGTGTTCCCAAAATGAAATGAATCTAATTCTGCATACATCTTTCCTTTAGCCCAGTGAAACACATTTCAGGATTCTGTCCTCTGGAAGTGTCAGGGCATTTATTTGTTAATTTTAAGCCACTAGGATAGTAATGTTCTTCCAAGAACTTTGTAGATTTTGCTGATGTTATAACACCAACTTTTTTTTCTTACATTTTTGTATAATATTTAATTTCTCCCCTTAGGTGTAGTAATGTGTTAGTGATAGTAACTACATACATACATATATACATGCATATATATTAAAATTTTGTTCATGAAAACTGAGTTTAAGCCTTTCAAACTTTAAATCTTTGTTCTTTTAGCTTCTCCTGGGTGAGGACATTTTATGTTGAAATATTACATTAAGTTGAAGAAAATTTAAGTGAATTTGGAGTTCTTCCCATTAGCTGATATGGTGAACTCTCCATTGTTAAATGTAAATATGATTCTGGCTTTGAGGTCTTTGAGGTATTAAAATAGGAAAAGTAATTCCTTTTTAAAATATTAAAATTAAGGTCATCGACCCCACTTAAATTCTTGTGTCTAAATTTCTAAATTAATTTAATTCATGCTATTTTAAACATTCATTCTTTCCATCTCTATCCTTCCAACTTCTGTCAAGTTTCCTTGTGTCATAAGAGAGGGAATAAAAAATGAGCCTGTATATACATATATGTGTGTGACTGTGATCATTTTAAAGAAAAGGTGTATAAATATATAATACATAAACACACACGCAGAAAACCTTTATTCTTAGATGTTTTCTTGGACCTAACAATAAATTTCCACCTATGTCACTGATTCCTCACAATATCCATTTGTTTGTCATCCCATCTTACCTTCAGAAATAAGAAAATTGAGTCTCATGGGGATATATTTTAACAACCACATATCATAGCATTTAAGTTTGGTGTATACTTTCTTGAATTACATACAAATAGAACCACGCTGTATGGACTCTCCTTTAATTCATCAAATTTTACTTTTAAACTATAAACTATGTATACTTTAGGGCCTCCCCGGTGGCGCAGCGGTTGAGCGCTGGGTTGCGAAGCTGCCTGCAGCCTCTGCGCCGCCGGTTCGATCCCCGGCTGCTCCCCGGCCACCGGAGGAAGGTCCCACATGGCGCGCAGCCCTCTCCTGCCGCCTGATGCTCCCTCAGCAGTGTACTTCATCAGTCTGTCTGTTCTGCTCCCCGCTCTGGTTCTGGTGAATTCTCTCACCCTCCCGCGCTTCTGACTGTACCCAGTGCTTATATAAGTAAATAAATAAATAAATAAGTCTTTAAAAATAAAAAAAAAACTATGTATACTTTATTTTTTATTGAATGTAGTTATACTCCAATACTTTATTTAAATAGTTCAGTAATTATTTAAATACCATGGCTGAGGATAGGATCTAGAAGAGAGGTAACCAATTCATACTTAGGGTGGGAGAAATGTCCTCATGAATGAGCCTCAGAAACACAATATAAAGACTGGTAGCTGAATACAGACTCTTTGGAAGCCCCCAAAATCTCAGAACAACTCATCATTTTATAATAAATGCATTATGTTAAAGTACTTGATTTTTAGGAATGTGTAGTGTAAGTGCCTAAATTTAAGCTTTTTTTTTAAATAGAGGCGTTTTTTTTTTTTTTTTTAATTTATTTGTTTGTTTTTTGTTTATACACGCACTGGGGTACAGTCAGAAGCGCGGGAGGGTGAGAGAATTCACCAGAGCCAGAGCTGGGAGCAGAGCAGGCAGAAGGACCGAAGTACACTGCTGGGGGGAGCAGTGGGCGGCAGGAGAGGTCTGCGCGCCAGGTGGGACCCTCCTCTGGTGGCCGGGGAGCAGCTGGGGATCGAACCGCTGCAGAGGCTGCGGGCAGCTTCGCAACCCAGCGCTCAACCGCTGCGCCACCGGGGAGGCCCAATTTAAGCTTTTTGCTTAAAGTTTAAGTACCTGACATTAGGCTTTTGATAGGTGAGACATCCATTTCAAAATACAACTATCTGGAATAAAAATATTACCAGCTGTATGACACAGCTACTAGCAATACACCCAAATAAGGATGTAGGCTACTTCTTCTCATAATAGTCCCTCTTTCAGAAAGCCCTGGATAACTAAGATTACTGATTCTGACTGACTTTGTATCTCCCATCCAGTGTTTTAATTCTTGCTCTTATGCTTTAAATTACTCAATTAAAAAGTGAACAGGTGAAGCCCTAACTATCCTACTTCTGAGGCCTAAAAAAAGACACAATCTAGGCGCCGGGCTGTCTGCACTCCAGGTCCTGAATTTAATAAATCTTTTTTCTCAGATTTCCCCACTGGTTTCTTAAGTGCAATTTGGTGATCCTTCCCAGAATCATCAGAGTTGGCTCAGCCTTAAATAAGGGTCTTGCTGAGGAAAATGTGTATGAAACTCTCTGTGAGTGATTTGTCCCCAAGTGAGCATGGCAGACATTCCTAGCCAGGGGTACTACACCAGTGAGTTCAGGATAGATGGGACAGATGGCCAGTTATGCAGCAATAGCTAACTGGAACAGTAATTAAAGACTAAAATTGATGGCCATTGTAATGATATACTGCTTATTTCTGGTTTGTTTTAAATGAAAAACACTCATGAAGACAGCACTCACAATCATTGTTATTCCGTTTTTTTTCAGATAACTTCATTAACAAGTGGCTGTGTTGAAGTTCCATTCCAGTAAACTTGCAAGGTAAGAAGGAATACATCTTTGTGCTGAATGGACCCTGGTGACCCTGAATCACAAACTGGGCAGAAATTCAAGCTCTCTTGTGAGTCATCCTTTATCATGAATATTGAGGATACATCTGAGCATGAAGAAAATATATAATCAGTGGTACTGATTTTGTCTACTGTCTCTTTAGTGGTATTGAAATATTTAAGGGAAGATACATTATTTAGAGTAGTAGAGGAGTCATATTTATAGGCAGAGCTGCAATTTTTCATGCAGAAACAGGAATATCATTCAGTAACAGGTATAAACTACACCAGCCAATCTTTCAATATATGAACCCCTCACACATGGACTCCAATATTTCATACTTCAAATAATAGATGTATTGTATTTTATGAAAAATAAATATTTGTGTCATAATAAAGTGTGATTTTAAATATTATTTGCTCATATTTGAAACTATCTCTGACGCTAAAATGATTTTCAATTAATCTGTTCAGATTTGGCTTTTCATGAAGACTCCCAAGAGGCACAGTTGATAGTTTTTGCCAGTGATTATGGTAGGCATTTTGGACACTGAACTGAGTAACAAAATAAAAACAGAACACCTATAATAAGACATAGTAACATGTTAAAGTCTATATTATCAGGAAGAGTAACTAGAAATGAAACATAAAGTGATGTTGATGGACCCAAAGTGAAAAGTGTGGCCTGTGTTTTCTCTGAAAATGGAATTACAGTCGCCAATCTCAGGATTTTTCCCATATGAGTAATGCCACTCAGGCCTATCCCGTCAGGAAAACTGGAGCAAAAATTACTGAGAATGTGTCCTTTGGGTAAATATGTAGGAGTGGAATTGTTGGGTTATATGGAAGCTCTATCTTTAGTAGGTTGAGGAATCTCCACACAGCTTTCCATAGTGGTTGGACCAGTTTGCACTCCCACCAGCAGCGCAGGAGAGTTCCTTTTTCTCCACATCCTTGCCAACATTTGTTGCTCCTACTTTTTTTAATATGTGCCATTCTCACTGGTGTGAGATGGCATCTCATTGTGGTTTTGCATTTCCCTGATTACAAGTGATGTTGAACATTTTTTCATATGCCTGTTGGCCATTTGCATTTCCTCTTTGGAGAAATTTCTTTTTAGCTCTTCTGCCCATTTTTCCAAAGAGCAGGTGCACCCCTATGTTTATAGCAGCACTATTTACAATAGATAAGCTTTGGAAACAACCCAAATGCCCCAAAATAGATGACTGGATCAAGAAGATGTGGTACATATACACCATGGAATATTACTCAGCAATCAAAAAAGATAAACACATGCAATTTACAGCAACATGGATGGAGCTGGAAGGGATCATACTCAGCGAAATAAGCCAGAAAGAAAAAGAAAAATACCGGATGGTCTCACTCATAGCAGGAATCTAGAAAGTCTAAATAAGGGACCAGGAAATAGAATAACTATAAGAAAGAAAAAAATCAAAATCAACCAACAACTATGAACCAGAGACACACTATGGGGGGCAGGGAAAGGAGGGATTGGGGTGAAAATAAGGGGGTTGCAATTGTATGGGGAATATAAAAAATAAATAAATAAATAAATAAATAAATTTTAAAAAATTACTGAGAATGATGTATATCATTAAAGAAGAAATTGCTTTAAAAAATCCCATTCATTTCATGAAAGAAATGAGTAGTTATAAGATTTTATGATCAAGATAAAAAAATATGGGAATAGAAATGTACAAAAGGAAAAACTGCATGGATCAGAGTAGAAAACTTAATCACATGATTTACTTATTGTATAAAGAAGTTGAAATCAAAGGATGCAAATTTCAGGAATTAAATAAGAGCAAGTGCTACTATCATAGTCTGAACAGATTATCACAGTTTCTGTTTCTGAGACTCAGATCACTACCATCAAATGCTTCTTCAGCCCCAGGACAATTGGTCCTTTACAGCTGACCCCCTAAAGAAGAATGCTTTCAGGGCCCTCTTTATGTCTTTGTTCCTCAGACTGTAGATGAAGGGGTTCAGCATGGGTGTGACCACGGTGTACATCACCGAGGCTGTTGCACTGGAGTATGAGCTGTGGGAAGCAGCAGAGGTGAGGTACACTCCTACACTTGTACAATAAAATAAGAAGACAACTATGAGATGTGAGGCACAGGTGGAAATTGCCTTTGACTTCCCTTGAGCTGATGATATTCCACGTATGGAGGAAATTATCTTAGAGTAGGAGTAAAGGATTCCAGCAAGGGGACCACCACCCAGCAGCCCAGCAGCAAAATACATCACTATGTCATAGATGAGGGGGTCAGAACATGAAAGTTGGACCACTTGATTGAGTTCACAGAAATAGTGTGGGATTTCCAAAGTTTTACAGAACGACAGTCGCAACACCATTAAACTTTGTAACAAGGAGTACAGGGCACTCATGAGCCAGGACACCAGAACCAGCAGTCCACAGAGCTGGCGGTTCATGATGACCATGTAGTGCAGGGGATGGCAGATGGCCACATACCGGTCATAGGCCATCACAGATAGGAGAAAGTCATCCAATCCTGCAAAGAGTACAAAAAAATACATTTGGGTGATACAGCATTCGTAGGTTATGACTTTGCTCTGCGTCTGGATATTCAGCAGCATCTTGGGGATTGTGGTGGAAGTGAAGCAGATGTCTACCAAGGACAGGTTGGAAAGGAAGAAGTACATGGGTGTGTGGAGGTGGGGGTCTAGACTGACAGCCAGGATGATGAGCAGATTTCCAAACACAGTGCTCATGTACATGGAGAGGAAAAGACCAAATATGAGGGGCTGCATTTCTGGTTCCTTTGATAATCCCAGGAGAAAAAATTTTGAAATTTGTGTATTGTTGTCAGTTTCCATGTGGTAGAGGTTACTATGAGGAAAGAGAAAAATAGAATAATTAATTTGTGCAAAATTGGTGATACACATATCTATATCTCAAGATAAGAAATCAACATGTATGTTTTTTGTATCACTGTTATCCTCTTAAAGGGATCTCTGTGCCATTTCTGATTAGGAATCCTGTAGTACTCTGAAGATTTTCCCCAAGAGGTTATACATCCTTAATGTTTAATGAGAATAACTTTCATGTATTTGAGGATTGTAAATTGAATACTGACCATCTTTTAGGCAAATAACATAGAATCTGAGCAACAAAAATCTCTATAATCCCATGATGGAGAAAGTCACAAATTCATACTATGTCAGATGATGGCAGGTGCTACAAAGAAAAAGAAAATATGTATAAAGGTGAGAGAGGATGGAAATGATAATTTTTACTCTGTATTCAGGCAAGACATAGGTAAGGTGACATTTGAGAAGAGATGAAGGAAGGCAAGGAGTCAGATGCAGGATTATCTGGGAAAGTGTGTGGCAGTGAAAATGCCCCAGGGAAGGTACTTGTTTCCAATATTTAAATTTCTATCAGATGAACAAGATGGAAAAAACTCAAATGTTCCCCAAGAGACTGTGACGAGGAGAAAGTGTTCTCTGTTCTGGCAGAATTCCAATGTCTCAATTACATCTCCTTGATCACCAGATAACTAATAAAACCACAAAGCAATTTATTAAAAGACGAAAGATGATGTATTTATCATGTCAAGACACCTTATTAAAGAACATCCCACTAGAGATCAGGGCAAAGGGAACAAATCTATGATTAAAAAAACCCAGTACACAACGTACAACTTTAGAGGGGATTTTAGAAAAAGACTTTTCCTTTTATGATATTTATTTCAAAACATTTGGAATCAGTATCCAAGTTGTGAGTCTCAGATCCACCACCTATTATCTTTTTAAATTTGAAGAAGTCAGTTGAATGACTCTATATAATAAATCCTCACCTATAAGAGTCAGATAGCTATATCCACTCTCCTAGATTGGTCGACAGATTTAATCATTACATGCTAACAGCTTGACATAGTTCCTTCCTGCCAGTAAATGAACAGTTGTCACTTGTGATTGATGAGGCCAATATTTCTTCTCGGCCAATATTTCTTCCAAATCCCATAGCTTTAGTTCAGCTCCTTGTCATCTCTTCCATCTATCATCACTGGCACCCCTGCAGCTCAATCTTCACAGTGTTCCAGAGAGATCTTTCTATGGCATGAAGTTAATCTTTGAATTCTCTATCTTAAACTCCTTCAAGTGACTACCCAGTGAAGAATGAAGCCAAAATCCTGAGGCTTAAAGTATGAGGCCCAACCCTTTGTGAACTTTCTGCCAGATTCCCCCACCTGCTGCCTTGCCTCACCCACATTAATGTCAAGAACATTCAACTTGACTTGCAGCTTCACCGGGTATCACTGTTTCAACACTCAGCACCATTATACACCACCCACTACTCTCTGCTTGGAGACCCTCTAGCTGCCCCGTTTGGAATTTGTTACTTGCTCTTCATCTTCAAAACTCCCTCTCCTGTTTCAGATTTCTTGGTTCATCTTCATGAAACTTCTTTTTTAAATATTATCACAGGGAAAGGCCACTTCCTCTGATACTTTAGCTATAGGGCCATCATTGTGGAATTTTTATTTAATTCTGTGGTTTTTTTCTCATTAGACTGTAAGTACCTTGGAGCATGTACTTACAGTCTTTACTGCCCCATTAGATTTAGTTTGATTGTAAGTAGTAGCTGAGTACACACTGCACAAAGGAATGTGTTCTCAGAGAAATTATCAATGATTAAATAAAGAACAAAAGCAGGAAAACACTAACTTTGGTATGGCGGACAGGCTAGAGAAATGTTTTCATATTCTGAAATCAATACCCATAGGTGTCAGACAATGATTTGTAAGAATTAAATAGGAAAAAAAAAGGTACAGGATATCAGAGTACATCATACACAATAAGGGTACATATCAAATTGGTTTAGTTATATGTGTGTGCCTAGGGGATGGGATTTATGTGTGCTTTTGTGTTTGTGTGTGCATGCAGGCTAGATAACAATGTAAGGAGAGAACCCATATTCACTGCACCTTTAAATCGTTTAACTTGGGTCATCGTGGTATCTACCTCAGGCCCCTTGTGTGATTGTTGTGCATTTACCTACTACAAATTTGTTTCATCACACTCGTTTTTATGTGATCTTATAGTGATATTAAGGGTGAACTTTTTCTCATTTCTCTTTGTGATCCACTTTTCTTTGTTATTCTTGGTCAATGAGTTTTGATCTTTTAAGATGCATTCAGTGGGTTCACTCTATCTTAGTTCTACTCATTGATTTACATGGAAAGGCTTCCCCAAATGTTGTTCTGGAATTCTGCACCAGCCACCATATATTCCCTGTCATCATAAGATTTATCTCTGAGAATATTATGTCATACATGCATCTACTTCATTGTTCTCTCCTTTTGCCATTATAATGTAAGATCCAAACAATCAGAGACCTCAAGTGTTTTCTTCATAAATGTGTACATTTAAATAAAAACATTTTAAGAAAATTAAAATTAATGAAAGAAAAGGAATGGCAGGTAAAATAAAACCAGGTTAAATATAGTGGATTCAAGAAACTATTAAGTGAAATTAATTAAAAATATGAGATTGAATTCAGAAGGAGAATATAAAAGGTAATAAGTCAACCTTGTTAATATAGGTATTTAATTCAAGATTAAATTGGCAAAGATCTATAAATAAAAATACAGTAATTAAAAAGAACGTGAAATATGATACCAAGAGCATGAGCAACAAAAGAAAAAAATGGATAATTTAGATTTTGCCAAAATTTAAAAATTTGTGTATTAAAATAGACCATCAAGAAAGTTAGATATCCCACAGAATGTGCGAAAACATTACAAATTACATCATCTGATTAGGCATTTCATTTTTATTTATAGTATGTAAAAATCTTATAATTTAATACAAAAAGACAAAATAGCCCAATTATAAAATGAGGAAAGGATCTGAATAAATACTTCTTGATAGAAGATGTATAATTTGGCAGTAAGCCCATGAAAAGATATTCAATACCATGGTCACCAGGAAAATGAAAACCAAAAGAATATTAAGGAATACACTCCACACCCATTAGGATGGCTAGAATTAAAAAATCAGATACTAACTGGTTGTGGAGAGGATGTGGAGAATTCAGAGCCACTCACCCTGCCAGTGGGGAAGCAAGTTGATGCAAACACATTGGAAAACAGGCAGTCCCTTAAATGATGAAGCCTTGTCACCACACGGCCCAGCAATTGAACTCTCAGGCATATACCCAAAAGAATCAAATACAGATAGTTCCTGTAAAAGTGGTAACGAATACATGCAGCAGCACCATTCACCATTGACAAAAGACGCAAACAACCCAAATGTCCGTCAGTGGATAAATGGACAAATGAAATGAAATAATCAGACAATGAAATATTATTTGATTCAAAAAAGAAAGGAAGTAGTGATGCATACTATAATGTAGATGAACCTTGGAAATATTAAGTGAAAGAAACTAATCACAATGGACCATATATTCTCATATTCACATGAAATATCAAGAATTGGGAAATCACACACAAAATAAATGGTTGCTCAGTGCCTGGAGGAAAGGGGTGAAGGGAAAAGGGATAGCGAAAGTATAGGGAAATTCTTTTGAGCTAATGAAAATATTCTAAAATTGACTCAAACTTCCATTTTTAACATTATAAAGATATAAAATAATTAACCAGCAAAAAATGACAGTGACTTCTTGTCTCTGGCCTAGACTGGTGTCTCAGGTGATGCCATTTAAAAGTTCTTGGCTTCTGTCTCCCTGGATTGTTCCTGACCAACTCACCTGACTCTCAGATTCACCTGGCAGTGGGCTCTGTGAGGAAGTTCTCTGGTGGAAGACTAATTCCTCCCAGGAAGGTTGATGACAGAGACTGACTGCGGTCCCAAGTAAGAAACAGTGGACCGTGTCCAGTCCACCTGAGATTGTAGAAACAGAAATTGCAGAGGATGAGACGGTTGCCTATATATGCTCATTATCTACATTTCCCTCTTGCTACTCCTACTACTAGGTACATGATTTCCCTGTGGGTCACTGTTCTAGACAGAAAGGAAACTTTTTCCAATGATTGTTGATCCCCAAAGACCACATTTGAAGTTAAGTAAATACAGTTTTTATTATTCCTTCTCCACAAACCACTTCCCTTCCAGTGGTCTAACCTTTCAGTACCAATGATATCCCTGAATTAAAGTTTCCTACGAAGTTTAAGACTGAATATCCTGTCAGAACAAGGTCCTTGGCACATCAAAGCATTTGTGGAGGGGCTATGGCCATAAAAACACCAGGAAATTGGGATTCTGTCTTCAAAAAGGGAGAGAACTTTGCTCCTTTTATTTTTTTATTATTATTTTTTAACTTAAATCATAATTCTTTATTTTTTTTATAATAAATTTTATTTTTATATTCCCCATACAATTGCAACCCCCCCATTCTGACCCCAATCCCTCCCCTCCTGCCCCCACCCCCCAAAAAGTGTCTCTGGTTCATAGTTTTTGTTGATCACTTTCTTATAGTTATTCATTTTCCTAGTCCCTTATTTAAGTTTCCTAGATTCCTGCTATGAGTGAGACCATCCGGTATTTTTCTTTATCTTTTTGGCTTATTTCACTGAGCATGATCCCTTCCAGTGCCATCCATGTTGCTGCAAATTGCACGTGTTTATCTTTTTTGAATGCTGAGTAATATTCCATGGTATATATGTACCACATCTTCTTGATCCAGTCATCTATTTTTGGGCATTTGGGCTGTTTCCAAAGCTTAGCTATTCTAAACAGTGCTGCTATAAATA